ATGTTTTATTTTCTATTTTATTTTTTTTTAAAATATGTTTGGTACTGTTTTGATTTATATGATTTTAAAAAACAAAAAATATAAAACATATTTTGTTGGGTATTTTTTATTTTTTTAAAGAAAAAACTATACTTTTTATAAAGCTGTTGGGTCCACGTGCCTCTAGTATTAAACTTTGTCGCCCATGACATATACGACGTTTTCCTTGCTCCACCCGACACGAAACATTAGCTATGGGCGAGTGGGAAGAGGGTGGCTGGTGGCTGCAGCTGCAGCTGGCGGGGGCCTGCAATAGTTGGGGGGGGGGGCGGCGATGGCTAGATGCTAGAGGCGGGCGGTGGGTTGCGTGCGGCGGTCAACGGACAGTGGCTGAAGCCAACGAACCGGTGGGAGGTGACCGACGATCGTTGTACTACAACAGGCAACAAAGCTTCACATAGGTAGTGCCTTGAAAACCTTTTTTTAAAACAACTAATATAGTATTTCCGTGTTTTTGATGTTTTGATAATTAGTCTTATTGTTTTAAAAACCAAATTTAAAAAATAAAAAATGAATAAACAAATGCTATTTTTGTGTTTGTTTTCTATATTTTGTTTTCAAAATTAAAAAATAGAAAACAGAAAATGATCCCAGATAGGGCCTTAAGTTTTAAAAACCAAAATCCGAAATGCATTTTTAGAACTGAACCAAATCAGCTAAACTTATTTGGTTTAGTTTGGTTTTTTAGTTTTGACCAAATAATGCACGCCCCAAATTTTGAGTAATTAACTTCCTTATCAAAACCCCAATCGACCTAAAATTGTTTTGGATCTAAACAAAATCCAACGTTTATAAATTATGGAAGAATTTTTAAGTAAAACATGCCTCTTAAGGTTGAAGAAAGAAAAGGGAAGAAATCTCTTAATTTTTGGTGTCAAAGATTGGACTCTATTTTAGCATGACTTAGTTTCTTGTTTTCGAGCTGTCACTCATGCATGGGTGCTTGTGCTCGGTTTAGCGTTCAGAAGCCTGTTCTCCTCTTGATTGCTTGTTAGTCTGCTCGACCCCTATGTTTCAGGCTATGCTATTCACTTGCTTGCTCTCTTTTTATTTCTCTTACCTTATCCTTTTTCCCTTTGTAATCCCATGGTTAATCGGCTAAGCAATGCCGAGTAATTGCGAGTATTCATCATGTCCATAAATAGTTATATATTAATTATATATATTATAATTTTTAAAATAATTTAATTTTTTATTATATTTTGATTTTAAATTATGTTATTTAAAGTTTTTTTTAAAGAGATTAAATATTTTTATTAATATTACTAAATTTCCTTATTTTTATTATTGTATCTTTAAGTATTATTATTTCTATACCACTTATATTATTACATTATTCGACATAGATCTTCGACGCTTTGCTTTTGATTCACACCACTCTTTCATGGATCGATCACACTTCTCTTGAGATGTGTGCAACCTATGGGGAACAAAAAATTGACTAAATATTTCTTTATTATTATTGTATATGTATTTTGAATTAAATTAAGTATTATTATTTATATAAAACTTATATTATTACATTCTTTGGCATATATCTCATTGTCGACCCTTTTACTTTGATTCAAAATACTCTTTCACGGATCGATCACGCTTATCGAGATGTGCAACCTTTTGGCAACAAAAATTGACTATTTTATTATTGGTTACTATTATTTTCAAACTTAAGTTGAAATCTGCCATACCTCTTGTGTTTGTGGGGGTTTTGTTATAATATCTAAACTATCATATGTGTGAACTATTTATAGTTGAAATTTACACTATTTAGTATGTTATATTTTGTATTTTTGAAAGAAATACATTATTTATTATTGCTATATTTCCCTATTTTTGAAAATGTCTTTCTATTGTATTTTTTATTATTCTCTCTCTTTTTTTTTTCTCTATACATAGGCACATATATGCTTATAGTGCAAAGACAATCTCTTAAAGATATACCTTTTGACAATTTTGATGATTAGCCTATACAAACTTCCCCTGCCTTCATTGAAAACCATTCTTCCCAACATTTTGTAGTTGGGGAAGACTATATTTAGAAGTAGAAATTTGCATTGATAATATGAGATAAGAGATTATTATTAATAAATAACTAGAAGACATCCCTTTTTACTCTTCAATTAAGATGCTTTAAATTTGCGCTTAGAGTATTTTGCTTACTAATATGAACTTTCACTAACTTGTATAAGTATAACAAAATGTTGGCTTCATTCATGATTTGTTACCTAAGTCAGGTTGATTTTTTTCTACTTTAGGGTTAAGTGTTAACCAATTGTTTTGACATTAATTGCTATTAGTTACGTGGCTTGGGCGTCAAGGTTTAATGAAACAAAATCAAGTAATGGTAGTGCAACGATTTCTGAAAAAAATGAGATTGTTATAATGAAATAATGGTCTATTAAGGATTTGATTTCTTATTGGCCCCTTATGTTCCTTTTAGATATTGGCATGCCTCAAATGCACTATTAATGGCTACAAGACATCTTAACGTAAAAGTGGTGTTAGGATGGATTTACAAAGCTGCCACATCTCTAAAAAAATAGGATTTTGGTATTTAAAAATTAGAATGTAGGCATGTCATTTGATTTTTAGGACACATGGCAGGATTTTATGGTCATCCTGATGCATTTTGTGTAAGGATGTCTTGATGCAATCCTTTTTCCGCACTTAAACCTTGTTCTATTCTTTTTTTGGAAATGAAATTAGTTGAAATTGTTTGTCATTTTCCCTTCACACGCCTAGGAAGTCCACATAGTGAGGATACAGCAGGTCTCGGCCTCACCATCTTTTCATTGCACTATAGTATTTGCATATGCTGCATTATGCTTCCTTATAGTTTCTAATCTTTTTGTAGTTTTTCTCATCTTGAGATGTAAGTGCTGAATTTCTATTTGAAGCTCTTCCATGGAGATTTCTTGTGCTTGGGGTTATTGATTCCTTTTAGCCGGCATCCTATCCTAACGATCTACTACCACTTTATTGACATCACAAATACATTGGCTACACTATAAGTAAACTTTATAAGATAAAAAAGTTTCATGGAGTTAGAAAAAGAACAATGATTACAAGAATTTAATAACTCCAGAATCTCACCAACACAAAGATAATGGACATTGTACTCCCGAGAGTTAATGTAAGATCTCACCTAATTTCAAATTTTCCTTGTGATGATGTTCTTGATTACTTTTCCAAATCCGATCCATGTCGGCCCCAAAATAACATACCAGAAGAACTCAAATGATAGTTATAGTATCCCAAATTAGTTGCAGTTTGCCAGTCGCTCCTTGCTCCAATCGGTGGTTGGAAAGTCAGTTTGCAGTTCAGCCACCTGATGAAGAATACAAGGAAATACAGCTAAATTGAGTGTATACATTAGATATTAACAACTTAGTTGAAAGAAGTAGAAAGCAACAAATCTTATGTGTGGAAAAACTGTAATTTCAAGCTTATTTAATCTTCCAGTCTGCTGGAAGTCCACCTCCAAAAGAATCTACTGGGAGGTTTCTAGTCAAATAAGGTTGGTGTCACCTTTGTTTTCCTACAACATCTCTTTTATTTAACCAAAATTCTGCCAAGCACCTGCAGAAGACGACACAGGCATAAACAAGGCTGCAAGATGGCATTGGATTACATGGCTGCTGAATTCAGCTGTCTGTTCTCCTGTCCTCTCTGCTTTCCCATCGCAACAGGAGGGAACCGCATGCAGGGGAAAAATGCACTTACTCTGGTGGATTCTAGTCACTGGAATCAGTTTCTGTTTCTTATAACAGCTTTGGGAGAAGCCTTGATCAAATTGACGAAGTCTCAGGCTCATCTAACATCTCTCTCAAGGAAAAAAAAAAGAAAGGCCTTTCGTGGGATGAAAAGGGGGATTAAACAAGCCAACCCTATTGTAGATTATAATACCATCATTCACAATTATAGCCCTTCTGAAGAAGAAAGGAAATGAACTATCTTAATAACTGACAGGATAAATATAAGGACCACACCACTTAATGACATTTGGTCCTGTAGAGCATTCTCGAGTGGATTTCTGTGATCTGGTCTTGTTATTTTTTGGGATTCTCACCTCGCTGTGAAGGCTTCAAGCAGATCATTGTTGGAGTGTTCTCTATTTCATCACTTTAGATTCAATTTCATTAGTCGTCTTTATCCAACTTCCTATTTTTCAATGTTTATTTGGTCAATTAAGCTTTTACCAGCTTGTCTTTTTATTTTGTAAGTCCTTGTGTCAGTAGGATCCTTAATTGCTTTCCCCTTCTATAAAGCTGATTTTTTTTTTTGGCATGAGCTTATATTATGTTGATATCATTTAATTTATATTGGCTTCATTGTTCTTGTCATACTCCGTCTAGGTTTTCACTTCAATAATCAAAATGTCAAATCCTGTAACTGTCCTACATTTTCCAATCTTATGCATAATGACATTGGCTCCGCATCTGTCATGAGGTTTCTGTTTCTTTCTACTCGGATGCCGTAGCCTATAATATTCTGAATTCCTTTCTCGAGCGATTTATGCCCTCCTATATGCTGATTTCTCTTTTATTCTCTAGAAAATAAAAAAGAGAAAATTAATATGGATCCATAAAATGCATGTTTTTTTTTCTTCAACATACAATAATTATGACCGAATCGGGGGAATGCTTGGGCATGCTATTCCCATCAGGCGTTTACTAGCATATCCAAGCTGTCGTTCTCCATGGATGTTGGAGTTGTGTTTATGTGTAAATGCTTAACAAATATTTTCCTAGGGTAACTAATTAACATTTTCAAACATGGTCACTATTATCTAGGATTGTATTGACAGTTTGTTATTCTTTTTTATTATTGTTCCCTTTTTGAGATATTAATAACGTCATTTAATCCGATTTCATTCACAATACGAATCATTTATTAGATTTTAAGTTGCTCTTTTATTTCATTCAGATTGTTCATATTCTTTAATCCTATATTCTTATTTTTAGAGATGCGGAGCCAAAACTTGATGCTAGTCCAGAAGAGATTAGAAGTATTCTGGAGGTCATTGCTGCCACGGGGAAGTTCTGGTACATAACCATTGACCTACGATTGTGTATTTCTATAATTTTTTTCCTCTGAATATACTTCAGCAGTTCATGCTGTTATTCATTTCAAAAGGCATGGCTCTCTTGAAGTACAAAGTCTTTCTTTTTTTGGAATTTTACCTTATATAGATTATATCTCGGGCTGGTCATCATTAGCTATTGCTAATGTAGAAGATATAAAAATGGAAAAAAAAATCTCAAGGATGTTTATTTTTCTTTCTTTTTACAAGTGGGGAGGTATGTATGCATCTTCAAAGACATTAAAAAATGGGAAAAAATAAGAAGGGTCGGCGATACTATAGAGAAGTATATGGATTGCAATTCGAGGGCCATAGAAAAATTGATTCAATGATACAAGACCTCAATTCGTGTGCATTAAGTTCTTTTCTATGATTGGAGAGTGAGTGGGCCCCACCATGAACGAGAGAGGGGGAGAGAAAGAGCGGAATTCAACAACCTCCTCAAACGCCTACAATATTTTTGAATGTTGGTTTGCATAATTTTTTTATGAACATGTCAGCTAGTTGATTCATTGTAAACATATGAAATACATATTAGTCCACATTCTAGTTTCTCTTTTATGAAGTTTCTATCAACTTTTACATGTTTGGTGTGATTATGTTGTAATTGATTGCATGTAATATTGATGGCTGAATTATTATCTGTGTATATTTTTATTAGCTCTTTCCACTTGATTTTAAATGCTCTAATATTATTATGATCCATAGAAACTCACAAATCCTTTGGGCAGTGACTCTAAATTCAACTCCAGCTCTTCATCTTTGAAACTGCTGACTATTTCTTATTTCTCCAAGTTATGAGATTTCTTCTTAAGAATGTATAATATTTTGACCCAGATTTTCTATTCATCGGCAATTCAACATAATCTGCATATGTAGTGTCTCGAAGCTGTGATTCTTTGAGTTTCTACATGAATTGACTTATTAGACTTATTGTGAATACAATGCTTGGATGAGTGCTGGATAGTTAGATTAATTTTTTCACTAACTTTTGATATCTTATAGTATCAACATCAGTTTATTTTTCATCAGGATTCGATTTTTTCATGGTCCAATTAGAGTTTCATATGACTTACACTTCTTCATCCAAGTATTTAAGTTTTTTGGTTAATTGCTCTATAGCAAGTGTTTTATTGACAGTTTAAACCCTTTGATTATCATCTCCCGTAATATTATATCATCAACATATACAATAAGGTTTGATATTCTAACCATCAAAAGAGCACTTTATGGCATTTTTGGTTTTATTTGTATCCTACTCTTTCCATAACCTTTGTAAATTTGCCAAACCAAGCTTTTGATGATCATTTAGTATGTATAGAGCCTTTTTCATCTGCATTCCTGATTCTTTCTGAAGGACTTATCAAATCCTGATAGTGGATCCATATAGACCTCATCTTCAATGTCCCCATGTAAAAAACTATTTTTGACATTATTTTGCTTTTTAGACCACCCGGGATTTATTACTAGGGATATTTGAATGCTTATAATGTTCATTTTTTTGCAATAGGAGCAAAGGTTTTTGAATAACCAAGCCCATATGATGGAGTGTGTACTTTTGCTGCTTGTCTTGCTTTGTATTTTTTCAGGCTTTCATATGCTTTGTATTTATCCATGAAAATCCATTTTCATTACCCTCTTCTTTTTTGTTTGGTAATTCAACGATCTCATTTGTATGATTTTTTTCAAATGTATTCATCTCTTCTCTCAAGCCCTACTTCCAATTTTATTTTCAAGTTACTCGAATAATATTTGTGGAATGGAAATGGGGTTGATGTTGATTCAAAAAGCTTTATGCTAGGAAAAAAAAAATTATGACATGAGGTGTACTAGGAGATAGGATATAAACGAGTAATAGTAGGTGATCAATATTACTTGTTAATGCTTCATAGTCCTGGACTTGGTAGAGATTATAACTTGGTTTGCTCTTTTTTATATAAACTTGAAGGGGTTTTTCATGAAATTTATAGTATTTGTCTTTGATGTGCCTTTTTTTTTACAGTAATTACACCATATATTATCTTTGAAAGAATATTTTTGTCCTTACTTTGGAGAAGTTTCTATGATAAAAAATCTTTTGTCTTGGGATTCTGAAGTTATCAAGGCAGATGTTTTGAGGATTTGATCATTGATCATCACTCCTTTTTTTACAACACGTACAAGAGAAAATACTTTTTTTAGAAAAGGGAGGTTTTCCTTACTTAAGATTTGAATTTAAATTTGATCAAATTCATTGTTAAGTCCTGTCAGAAACTTTCGCTTCACAAATTATTCGAGGATCACCACGTCCTCACAACTTGGTTTCTTCAAATCTTGGTAGTAGTTCAACTCTAATCAGTGAACTTTCATAGCGATATAATGTTTAATGATAGGAATATTATATTGTTTGGTTATGGTGAATTCAGTTTGATTTCGTCTTGGTAGTACGGATGGGTCTGGAAGTGAAAACTCAACATTAAGAAAATATAACAAATATTGTAAAGAAAACTCTAACCTCACTATTCCATTTAGAAAATAATGCAACAAAGAAAACTCTCTAAAATGTTTTTTTTTTGTATAAGAGGGGAGATATTATACATCGTTAAGAGGCATTACATAATAGTAATAAATCAAAAAAAGGTAGAATAATAAGGGGTTGGCCATCCTATATTGAAAAACACACAAATTGCAATTCTACTGTCACAACCTAGTCTAGGAGCTTGGAATTTCTAAGGCGTGAATTGATAGTTTTACAATGAAATTAGAACTTTCTATTTTAATTATCTATCATTAACAGTTTACAATTCAAATAAATTGAACGAACCACTTAAAAAAAATAATTTAATTTAACAAATAATAAGTTTACATTTTAGTTTGTTGATTTCGTCTTTTGTACACTTTTCTTCTTCTAGTACTTTTCTTTTGTTTGAAAGGTTAAATCTACACAATATTAAAATAAATAATGAGTTAATTACAATAACCCAATGAAATAATTATACTTCTATATTATAGTAACTCAATGAAAATAAGATAATATGTATGTTGCTCTTTTCTATTTTGTTATAAAAAAAATATAATAATCTATATAAAATGTACATGAAGTTTGTTGGTCTTTTCTATTGTGTAAGCCAACCTTTTCTATTCTTTTATAAAAATTATGCAGTAATCTATATAAATATACATGGCATTTGCTTAAAGAAGAAATCTAAAATCTCTAAATACATTAATTTTTTCTTTACTTTTCAAGATGCTATATTTTTACTTTTTAATGCTTATCTTACTCTTAACCATTATATTTGTCTCAGAAGCATTGTCTAAACATAATCTAACAACACACTTTTGACCAATACACATCCCTTCGGAACAACTAGGTGCATATTAAGTCTACTTTTGTTTGAGGTGGAAATATACCAACTCACTGCTGATCTATATTCTCCCACTGACACAACATTCATGCTCTAAATAACACGATTGTCTGAGGTGGTTGAAAAATATCTACGCGCGCGGGAATATTGACATCTCTAGCTAATAGGGTTGTCAAAAAAGCTCGTTGTTCGCGACCAGCTCGTGTTTAGCTCGGTAAGTAGCTTGTGTTCGATTCGTTTGTTATACATGCAAGTCGAATATGGTCAAGTTTTTCTAGCTTGATTTATAAACAATTAAAAATAATATAATTATAACATTATTATATTAAAATTTTATGATAAATTTAATAGAAAATTCAAAATTAAAATATATTAAATCATTTAAATTAACTTTTTTTATGCTAAAATAATTTGAAATTAATCCCAGTCATTGGATGATGGATCCCATCAACCACCCTAACTTTTATTTATATTAAAAAAAAAACTAACTATATATACTTAATAACCCCTAAATCGAACCCTACCATCGTGAGCCGCCCCTTTCTTTTTCTTTTTGTCGCAACTGCGAGTGCGAGGGGGGCGATTTGACGAAAGGCATGGGGTGTAGTTGGCGATTGCGACTCTGTGAGGGGTTTCCTTTCCTTTCTTAGGGCTACAACCAAGAGTCAAGAGGATAAGAGGTGAGATTATTTTATCACTCGGTGAAGGCAGACTGCGAAGCCTGTGATCACACATCAAGGTTCTTTGTATTTGGTAATGGATTTTTCTAGCGACTATTTATTAGGTTAAATCCAGCGTAAACAGAAGCGAATCAAACTGAGAAGGTTCTTTGTGAACTGTTTCTTTTTTTTTCCAGCAATTCTTTGCGATCTAAGAAGGTTTTTTCTTTTATTTTGAGCCGAACACGTGCCTAAAACGAACAAATCAAACTTAATTCAAACCAAACTCGAACACACTGTTCACGAGCCAATTTCAAACATGGGCCTATTTCAAACAACTTTTAAATCAAACGAGCCGAACACGAATAAGTCCTAGGCTCACTCATGTTTAGCTCTTTTATTGCCCTACTAGCCACCGTAAATGAATAAATTTATCTTAATATGCACATACAAACATTTATATATACAATATTTTCATTTTATTTTTCGTAGCTCACATTTTTTTCTTATCAAACAATTTGTATAGATTTACCAATGAAGAAACAAATTTGCTTGAATTTAAAGGTCATGTAAATTTTATATATACTTCTCTGCTATAATCTAAATGTGTTTGAATAATAATATGACATTTTCTTAGAAAAATTATTGTGCAACTATTTAACATGCATATTTTATGTTTAACAATATGAAGAATCTGTTATAGATTAAATCTCATTGGTATATGTTGGAAATCAAAGAAATAATTTGTATTTCGCCTTATTATTTGAATTGATCATACAAGGTATTATATAGGAGATTAAAAGGAGAAAAACTAGGAAACTATTTAACTAATTCCCTTAATTTAAGAGATTACAAATTTATTCTAATTTCTTTAATTTAAGGGATTTACCAATTAATTCTAATTTCCTTAATTAATGAAATTAGAAAGGAAATTAGAATTAATTCTCACAACTTTATTT